TTAACATATCCTGCTTTGTCCTTTTGTCCTAATCATTTGAATTGTAGGCATAAAGAGGAGCTAGAGAATCCTTTCTTAGGCTGCCTTTAACACGTCCCTGCCTAGGATATGTGGGTGTCTGAGAGGTTCTTCTGTAGGCTTAAGAATTAGATTTTTAATTCCTTTGCTGTAGGTTTTAATTCTTTCCTGTGGGCATATAGATTCATAATGCATGTTATTTTATAAAGTTGTGCTTCATTTATTAAACAGATATTTAGGAATTCCTACCCTTTGCAAGGTGCTTTGTGGGGTACAAAGTTTCCGGTCTTTTGGGGCTTTAAATTTCAGATTGGGAAATGGTAGGCGAATTTTACTAATTTTATTTGTTAGCTGTATGGTTACCAATTCTCTTTTCAAGTTATTGAAAATGGAAATTAATAGGTTGGGTAACTTTTTACATCCAATTATCTCTTTTTGTACAGTGTTGGAGTTGGCCTTACATCCATTAAAGCAATCAGCAAGTTGACATTATGTTTACAAGTCTACACTTGGCTACATTGTACATACCTGAAGTAATATTTTTACATAGTATATATTTTATAAGCTTAATTTAGGATTTTAAAAATTACATTCCTCAAGCCTTTGGTCTTACATTAAAATATGAAATGCAAAGTTCTGTTTTAATTATTTATATTAATAAAAGATGAAATGAAAAGTTGTTTTAATTCTTTATATTTAATGCCTAAGCCCTTTGTATTTTGTTATGAAGCATGAGTTTTCATATAATACGGAATTTTTTAAACAATAGATAAATTGGACTATAAGAGGAATTTTTTTGTTCACATTTTTTTAATGGAGGAAATTTTTTGTGCCAGATTTGATTGTTTTTAGTCTTATAAGTTTTGATATCTTTTTGGCTAAACAAGTTTTTATGTATTATTTTTGATTAGTGATGAGAAATAGCTACAACTATGTTTATGTATAGTATGCCAGACAGTAAAGGATCTATTTAAATTCTAAATGTACACAGGAATCTGCAGTGTGCCTGTTATGTCCTCCTGAAATCAGGGCATTCCCCCCAATTCACAGTCTACCATCTTCCTAATACCACCCATCCCCCTCAAGAAAAAGAAAGAGAGATCATTTGGCTATTTTTTTTTTCCATTTATTTATTATATTGCATTTTAGGTTTTGGGGTACATGTGAAGAACATGCAAGATTGTTGCATAGGTACACACGTGGCAGTGTGATTTGCTGCCTTCCTCCCCATCACCTACATCTGGCAACTCTCCCCTCCCACCGTCCCTCCCCTATTTCCCCCCAACAGACCCCAGGGTATAGTGCTCCCCTCCCTGTGTCCATGTGTTCTCATTGTTCAACATCCGCCTGTGAGTGAGAACATGCGGTGTTTGATCTTCTGCTCTTGTGTCAGTTTGCTGAGAATGATGGTTTCCAGGTTCATCCATGTCCCTACAAAGGACACAAACTTGTCGTTTTTGTTGGCTGCATAATATTCCATGGTGTATATGTGCCACATTTTCCCTGTCCAGTCTGTCATCGATGGGCATTTGGGTTGGTTCCAGGTCTTTGCTATTGTAAACAGTGCTGCAATGAACATTTGTGTGCACGTGTCCTTATAGTAGAACGATTTATAATCCTTCGGATATATACCCAGTAATGGGATTGCTGGGTCAAATGGAATTTCTATTTCTAGGTCCTTGAGGAATCGCCACACTGTCTTCCACAATGGTTGAACTAATTTACACTCCCACCAACAGTGTAAAAGTGTTCCTATTTCTCCACATCCTCTCCAGCATCTGTTGTCTCCAGATTTTTTAATGATCGCCATTCTAACTGGCGTGAGATGGTATCTCAATGTAGTTTTGATTTGCATTTTTCTGATGACCAGTGATGATGAGCATTTTTTCCTATGTTTGTTGGCCTCATGTATGTCTTCTTTTGTAAAGTATCTGTTCGTATCCTTTGCCCACTATTGAATGGGCTTGTTTTTTTTCTTGCAAATCTGTTTTAGTTCTTTGTAAATTCTGGATATCAGCCCTTTGTCGGATGGGTAAACTGCAAAAATTTTTTCCCATTCTGTTGGTTGCCGATTCGCTCTGATGACTGTTTCTTTTGCCGTGCAGAAGCTGTGGAGTTTGATTAGGTCCCATTTGTCTATTTTGGCTTTTGTTGTCAATGCTTTTGGTATTTTGGTCATGAAGTCCTTGCCTATGCCTATGTCCTGAATGGTTTTGCCTAGATTTTCTTATAGGGTTTTTATGGTATTAGGTCTTATGTTTAAGTCTTTAATCCATCTGGAGTTAATTTTAGTGTAAGGTGTCAGGAAGGGGTCCAGTTTCTGCTTTCTGCACATGGCTAGCCAGTTTTCCCAACACCATTTATTAAACAGGGAATCCTTTCCCCATTGCTTGTTTTTGTCTGGTTTATCAAAGATCAGATGATTGTAGATATGTTGTGTTGCCTCCGAAAGACTTTTTTTCCCTGGGGCAGATAGAGCTTGTTGTGGAGATGAAGTTACTGTTGTGAGCTCAGTCAAGTATTAGAAATGTTCAAATCTCTCTTCTGTGTTCCCCGAACAGAAATTGTTGTTGTTGTTTTTTTTTTCTCCCTACTGTTCTTTACTGAGCCCTTACTATGGCCAAACTCTATGCTGAGAACTTACCTATAATTAGTAATTTACATCTCAAAATCAACTGAGAGTCTCTTTAAGGTGAAGTGCCTTGCCCAAGGTTATATAAGCAGTAGGTACTAGAGCCCAGATCAATGTATTCCATTAATTATAGAGGAGGGGCCATTGAGAGATTACGTGTGCTATCTGGGGAGTGGGTATGGATTCAGAGAAACATTAATAACATGAGGAACGTGTTAGTGACAAATATTTCATGTTGAAGTTACCCAGTTTTGATGATTTATCTTCTGGCTTGATGATGATAATGATGATAATTACTGAGAATTTTCTATATGCCAGGCCCTATGGTAAGTGCTTTTCGTATATTAACTCATCTGTTCTTTATAATATCCTAAGAAATACATATTATTATTTATTTTCTAGAAAACTAAGGCACAGAGAATGTGACTAGCCCAGCATCACTGTGCTAGTGAATAATGGAGTCAGGAAACAAAACCAGGGAATCAGACACAATTTCCACTGTTATACCCACTATGCTATATTACATTACCTCTTTTTCCTTCTCACAAGCTGTCTTCACTTAACTCCATCATGAAAACTTAGTTTAGAAATAAAAACTGTTAACTGTGGTTTTTCATCGTATTCAGGTATTTCTGTAATCATATTTAACATATATTAACAGAAGGCTTTAGAAGTGATTAATCAGAAAATATAAAGTTGTGTATTAGGGTTCTCTAGAGGTACAGTACTAATAGGATATATATGTAGGTTGTGTGTGTGTGTGTGTGTGTGTGTGTGTGTGTGTGTGTATACACTAATAGGATATAAGCGTAGATATAAAGGGACATTAATCATTAAGTATTAAGTCACACAATCACAAGGTCCCATAACAGGCTGTCTGCAAGCTGAGGAGTAAGGAGAGCCTGTCTGAGTCCCAAAACGGAAAAACTTGGAGTCTGATGTTTGAGGGCAGGAAGCATTCAGCAGGGAAGACAGATGTAGGCTGGGAGCCTAGGCCTCTCCACATTTTCCTGCCTGCTTTATTTTCTAACTTTGCTGGTAGCTGATTAGATTGTGCCCAACCAGATTAAGGGCGGGTCTCCCTTTCCCAGCCGACTGACTCAAGTGTTCATCTCCTTTGGCAACACTGTCACAGACACACCCAGAATCAATACTTTGTATCCTTCAATCCAATCAAGTTGACACTCGATATTAACCATCACAAGTTCCCACAGGACAAATATAACATAGTGTTTGCTTAAAAAAGCAATTATTTTCTTAATTATGTGTAACACTGGTAATGGCTTTCAAAAACCAGACATCATTGCTGTTTGATTTTTGTTTAAACTTTAAGAACCAATGTACCTAGTGGCAAGTGCAGGGTTCTACTTGGCTTAAACAAGTGAAGTTTGGTGAAAGATATATTACCTTGAATCATTTTTATTTTACACATAGTTCTAATATTTAAAATATATATATATTTCTAACATTAGGAACGTAAGAGAGCTCTAGAGGCAGAACGGCAGGCCCGGGTGGAAGAATTGTTGATGAAGAGGAAAGAACAAGAAGCTCGAATTGAACAGCAGAGGCAAGAAAAAGAAAAAGCCCGTGAGGATGCAGCCCGGGAAAGAGCTAGGTATCTCATTTGCTGTCTCATTTGATCTTGATGAACATTTTGCACTGAGTGAATATTCAAGCTGAGGTCTTAAAGCCATTCACTGTCATGGAGATTTTTTTGTTTTTTTTTTTCGAGATGAGGTTTTGCAATGTTGTCCAGGTTGTCCTTGAACTCCCTGATTCAAGTGATCCTCCTGCCTCACCCTCCTGAGTAGCTTGGAATACAGGTGTGTACCACCACACTCAGATACAAAAACAGAATATGATTCTGGCTAGCTTCAGAAAAAGGGAATTTTGGGGAAGATATCGAGGGCGTAAGTAATAGGAGGTTAGAGGACCAGACTTGGAAATGCGCTGTCAGTCATCAAAGGCTAGATCACAAGAGCCACAGCAGTGGATTTTTTTTTTTTTTTATGGAAATAGTCTTGTCAGCATCTTTTTAAGTGCTTTTTAAATTTGTATGTTGCTGGTGTTTAGAAATACCATTAATTTTGCTTCTAGCAACCTCGTTAAATTCTGTTAACAATTCTAATAATTAATCTTAAATTTTTTTTTAGCATTTTCTACATAAATAAACATCTTATCTACCAATATATAGTTTGGGTTTTTTTCCTCAAATTTATGCCTTTTGTTTTGTTAGTGGGCATCTTATTTATACGGATGCTTTCCACAATTAACCATTAAATATATCTGCCTTAGCTTTTTAGAAAAATAGTGTCTATTTGTTGTTTATTTAAGGTATACATCATGATGTTGTAGCATACATATAGATAGTAAAAGGGTTATTGTAGTGAAGCGAATTAAAATAGCTATCTTCTCACCTAGCTACCCATTTTATTTGTTTTAGTGGCAGGGGCAACTAAAATCTCATTTATCACAAATCCCGATACTGTACAATTTTATTACCTGTAGTCCTCCTGTTGTACATTAGATCTCTAGACTTGTTAATCTTACGTGTCTGTGGTTTTGTATCCTCTGATCTACATCTCCCCATTTCTGCCCTCTCCCTCTTATGCACACCCCTGATAACCAATACCTTGTTTTCTATCTCTGTATAATTGAATATTTTTTTCAAGATTTCACATATAAGTGAAATCATGCAATATTATTCTTTCTGTATCTGGCTCATTTACTTAGGATAATGTTCTCTAGGGTGGGTACTAGCCCTTCGTCAGATGGGTAGATTGCAAAAAATTTTTCCTGTTCTGTTGGTTGCCGGTTCACTCTATTGATAGTTTCTTTTGCTTTGCAGAAGCTCTTTAGTTTAATTAGATACCATTTGTCTATTTTGGCTTTTGTTGCCATTCCTTTTGGTGTTTTAGTCATAAAGTCCTTGTTCATGCCTATGCCCTGAATGGTATTGCCTAGGTTTTCTTCTAGAGTTTTTATGGTGTTAGGTCTCACATTTAAATCTTTAATCCATCTAGAGTTAATTTTTGTATAAGGTGTAGGAAAGGGATCCAGTTTCAGCTTTCTGCGTATGGCTAGTCAGTTTTCCTAACATCATTTATTAAATAGGGAATCCTCCCAAAGTGCTGGGATTACAGGCATAAGCCACCATGCTTGGCCTAGTTGCTTATATGTTTTGGATATTAACCCCTTATTAGATATATGGATTGTAAATATTTTTCCCCAGTCCTTAGGCTGATATTCTACTGATATTTTTCTTTGCTATGTAGAAGCTATAAACTTCCCTCTTAGAACTGCTTTTGCTGCAACCCATAGATTTTGCTATGTTGCATTTCTATTGTTGTTTGTCCCAAGATATTTTTAAATTTCCCTTTTGATTTCTTCTTTAACTTATTACTTATTGAGGAGCATGTTATTTAACTGCCATGTATTTGTGAAATTTTCAGGATTCCTTTTTTTATTGATTTCTAGTTTTAAATCATAGTGATTTGAAACAACAGTAGATGTGATTTAAATCTTCTTAAATTTGTTAAGGTGACTTGTTTTGTGGTTTAACTTGTGGTCTAGCCTGGATAATGATCCATGTGCACTAGAAAAAAATGTATTGCTTTTGATAGAATGTTTTGCCTATGTCTGTTAGATCCATTTGGTCAAAGTAAAATTCAAGTCTGGCATTTATTTTCTGTCTAGTTTATCTATTGTTGACAGTGGGGTATTGAAGTCCCCTACTATTATTATATTGGTATCTGTTTCTCCCTTAATATTTGCTTTATAGTTTTAGTGCTCCAATGTTAGGTGTGTATGTATTTATAATTGTTACTTCACATTGATGAACTGACCCCTTTATCATTAAATAATGATCTCTTACTGGCCAACATGATGAAACCCTGACTATACTAAAAAATACAAAAATTAGCTGGGCGTGGTGGCACGTCCTTTTAGTTCCAGTTACTCGGGAGGCTGAGGCAGGAGAATCGCTTGAACTTGGGAGGCAGAGATTGCAGTGAGCCGAGATCACACCACTGCACTCCAGCCTGGTGACAGAGCAAGACTCCGTCTGAAAAAAAAAAAAAAATCTCTTTATCATTTGTATATTTGCCATAGTTTTTTGTTTTGTAGTTACTATGAGGCTTATGCAAAACATCTTATAATTAACTGTTATAAGTTGATAACAGCTTAATTTCTGGCACATACAAAAACTATACTTTTACTCTCCACCCCACAAGTTACATTTTTTATGTCACAATATTCACCTTCTTATGTTATGTATTCCTTAACAACTTATTGTAGCTTTCGTTGTTTTTGACTATATTGACTTTTAACCTTCAGAGTAGAGATATGCATGATTTACATACCACACTTAACAGTTTTGAAGTATTCTGATTTGACTAAATATTTATCTCTACCAGTGAGTTTTATACTTTACATGTATTCATGGTGGTACTTATTGTTTTCTTTCTGCTTGAAGAATCATTTCATGTAACACACAGGTCTAGCGTCAGTGAATTCCTTCAACTTTTATTTGTCGGGGGAAAGACTTTATTTCTCCTTCATTTTGAAGGATAGTTTTCCTGGGTATAGTATTCTTAGCTGGGAGATTTTTCCCCCCTTTCTACATTTTGAATATGTCATCCCATTTTCCAGGTTTGCACAGTTTCTGCAGAAAAGTCCAATGATACTCTGATGGCTATTCCCTTGTATGTGACTTGACACTTTTCTCTTGCTTTTAAAATTCTTTCATTGTCTTTTCACTTTTGACAATTTGATTATAATGTACCTTAGAGAGAACCTTCTAAAGTTTACCTGAGGATCCTTGAGCTTCATTGATTTGTATGTTCATATCTCTCTCTTCCTAAGTCCCAACAGTTTTTAGCAGTTATTTTATTTATATAAGCCTTTTCTGTTTCTTCACCTTTTTGAATTCCTACAATGTGAATATTTGCTTAATGGTGTCCCATAGGTCTTCTTCATTCTTTTTCATTCTTTTTTCTTTTTCTTCTCTTCTGAGTCATTTCAGAAGCCTTCAAGATTCTTTCTTCTGCTTGATCTAGTCTGCTGTTAGCCCTCTGTGGTATTTTTTCTTTCGTCGAATTCTTCAGCCTAAGATTTCTATTTAGATTTTTTAAATAACTCTTTTATTGAATTTCTCATTCAGATCATGAATTATTTTTCTAATTTCATTGAATGGTCTGTTTTTATTCTTTTTTTTCCTTTTTTTAAAAGACGGAATCTCGCCCTGTTACCCAGGCTGGAGTGCAGTGGCAAGATCTTGGGTAATGCAGCCTCCGCCTCCTGGGTGCAAGAGATTCTCTTGGCTCAGCCTCCTGCATAGCTGGGGCTACAGGCGCCGACCACCATGCCTGGCTAATTTTTGTGTTTTCAGTAGAGACGGAATTTCACTATGTTGGTCAGGCTGCTCTTGAACTCCTGACCTTGTGATCCACCTACCTTGGCCTCCCAAAGTTATGGGATTAAAGGCATGACCCACCACACCCTTAGTTTCCTTAGTTCATTATTTTGAATTCCTTTTGAGATAATTTGTAGATTTCTGTTACTTTGGGGTCAGTTACTGGAGAATTATTGTGTTCTTTCTAATAGTGTCATATCTCCTTGTTTTTTCATGTTTCTTGTGACCCTGCCTTGATGTTTGTACATCTGATAGTGTAGTCATATCTTTCCAATTTTACGGAGTATGAAGGGGAAGGCTTTCCCCTGAAGATGGGCCTGAGGGTACTGCTTGGACAGGATACAGTGGCTCTGCTTACGTGTGGGTGCAGTGTTGTAGCTGTCATGCAGCTTCTTAGTTGTGATCAATGTCAGTGAAGACTGTGAGTGCCTCAGTGGTCTGGGCTGTAGAAGTCTGTGTCAGTGGTGGAGGCTACTGAGGTTATTGGTGCAAGGGTTTTAGGGGTCCTCCTGTTCCTGTGCTTGTCTTCTCCAAAGTAGAGAATCTTCATTGAGGGGATCGCTTTTGGTATCAGGTCTGACATTGCTCACAGGCAGACACAGCGGCTCTAGGTTCCAGGGCACAGTGGCTGAGAGCAGCTGTGGAGCTAAGTCCCTGGGCTTAGGGTCTTATGAAACTACTATAGCACCTGGGACTTCAGGCATAGGTTCACTTGCCAAGGCATGAGTGGATTCAGTTCTCCCACTACACAGGGTTTGTTGTTGTGGGGCACCTTGGGCCCAGGGGGCTGCTTGGGGTATGCTGCGCTTGGGTGGCAGAGTGAGGCACTGGCATGATTCTGGGGAAGAAGGAGTCTCTGGAGACTCAGTCTCTGGGGAGCAGAGAACAGTTGTCATTTGGGACCTGGAACCAACTGGGTAACATGGTCGCTTAGCCTCTGGGTGAAAAGGAGCATACAGTGGTCACTTTGGATCCTGGCTTGGTACAATAGCCCAGGCTCTATGAGGCTGGGTCCAGTGGAAACAAGGACCCAGGAATGGCAAGATACGGCTGTATCTTGTGCCCTGTGGGGTAGGAAACAGTGCAGCAATGACCACTCCTTGGATAGGTAGGGTGCCTTAATATATTGGAATGTAGGGGAACTAGTCCAGTTCTAGGTAGGTGGGGCACTGTGTCTCTTTGGCCTAGAACACAGGGCATCA